TATATATATATATATTAAAGGCAAAACATGCAATGAACATTTCTTTAGTCATTAGGATCTATGTATAAATAAATCTCACATTTTTCGCATCACAATTGCTGATGGCTATGAACCACCATCTTTCCCTTCTGGACTCGAATGTCCTTTCGTTGTGGCATCGAAGCCAGTCTTTTTTGTCCTCTTCGGGGTGGTCAATGCATCCAGAACGAAAGGTGGACTCATTCAAGTAGATCACCTGACCATTTTCAATAAATAATACGGATTCTTTCTCTCTACACGTCTGGAGAATGACAAATTATAGAGATATTGAATTAATAGAGATATTTTTATAAAATCAATATTTTATCATTAGAAATAAAACAAAAGATTACATCTAATTAATAGTGCAGGATATCCCAAAAATTTCTTAAAAACTACTTTTGATAGAAACATAGGATTTTAATAAAAAATTGTGATTTTTTTTAACGGATTTCGAAAGTATATTGTAAAGTATGTATGGTAAATGGCCTCCACGATTTTGCTGTCACATGTGCACTCTTTTGTTAAAATTTTCAATAACCGCTTTGTATAATTGTGACTGGTTGTTGATGGGTGTAAGCTTGCTGTCATAATATTTAGACAGCATAAGCTCGCATGATTTGCGTGACCACTGATTCTGATCATCAAACCAGGGCATTTCACGAACAGGAAATGAGCCAACAATCAGATTGCTATACTTTTTCAATAAGCGATCTGTTTTTCATAATTAAAAACTTCCTGCTTCTGCTGCCTCTGTTTGTTTTTATTGACATTTATTTCGAAATGGTAAAAAAAGTTCTAGCCTTGCGTGAATTTAGGGACACCCGTTAGTTGCAAGTAGAAAAACTATTGTGCTGTGTAGAACTGTGTATTAATACGCTGACAAAATGACCGACTAAATTCTCTAGCTAGTCCTTTTTTACTGTTTGAATAAAAATACTTGCAATATTCAATCCAGTTGAGAGGTGTATTCTATGTATAAAACTTTTACTGACAAATTAAATAGTGTACAACATAGGAATGAGAGATTTATAATGTATATTTACCTTATTCTTTTGATACACTGCAGGCCACTGATTTTTTTCATCGTAGTACAATAAAATGTTTTGCGTTTTAAAAGCCTGCAAATAAATTCATCATCAGAAAAATGAAATTAAATTATTGGGATGATTTAATTCAGATTTCAATTGCAAAAATGTACTTCGTTAACTGCTAGTGTTGTAAAGAGTAATATGGAATTGATTATGCCAAAATAACTATTAAAATCGAATAACTGTCTGCACTTTATGCGTTTTTTTTCTTCTTTTATTGTAGAACAATTAAAAACAGATCCTATCTGGAGTTGCACCTGCACCATCTTGCCGAGGTGAAAAAGCTTTTTAAACAAAGTTTGTTACAAAAGATTCAGTAACTTAAAAATAAGAAGAAAAAAAACTGAAGTACATTTATTTTATCCTTAGATTCATTTTGTGATACTTTTGGGATCACCTTAAGAATGCAAAGTATTTTACTCTATCACTACAACTTTAACTTTAAAACAACTTTAAATTTCCTTGTGTTTCAAAAAGTTTGCCAAATACGCTTAATGTAAGGAATACAATTTCTATAGTATTAGTAAGGCTCCTTGCAGTAACCTGTTAAGGAGCTTTTAATTGGTTATGTCAAGGGTATATGACAAAAAGAAAATTAAATCAAAACGCTAAAAATTATCAAATTTTTACAAGAGCTTCTTCTCGCTTTCCTTAAGAAATATCATCTAAAAAGGTTTAAAATTTACAAGAAATCTAATTTTCTAAGTTGTAAACTCCTTTTTTAGAAGATTACTTCCTTTTTAAGAACATCAAGAAAATATGTTATGAGGAGAAAAAAAGGGAAAATGTGGATAAATATAAAATTAGTTTATTTTCGCTACCGTTTCAAATTTAAAATTTTTCTTTGGTGAATAACGTTAAATTATCATAAAGAAAATATCAATATCACTAAATATCGTTAAAATGTTTTACTCACTTTTGGATAGTCTATGGTATATTCAAACGTTCCAAATTCAGATAAGAAACAAAATCTCGCCAAGAAAGCCCAGTTCTGTATATAAAAAGAATCACAATAAAACACTGAAACAATGTCTTAAAAAATCAGAAAAACTTCTTCCACAGACTGCATACAGATATCGAAAAATTTGAGATAATCAAAAAATAACTTTGCTTCATTTAATTAATGATATCGCTATATCTGAGCTAAGCACGGCGTTTTAACGTAATCAGAGCTATTCCAAGCATTAACTTTTTTAGAGTCCCTATCAAAAAAATGTGGACAATTTCGACATTAGGTGTCTGAAATTAATATTTAAGTGAGAAAAAAGCATTGCCAAAATCTGGCGATTCATTATCGTAGAAATTCTTGCTCATAAGATTCACCATGCTAATAAGATCTCTCATTTTGTAATACAGAACAGCGATTCCCAAATAGTGTTCCCGGAACCCTAGGGTCCCGAGATTAGGATTTTTTTTTTAACCAGTAACCTTTAATTACAGTTTTTGGAACCTTTAATTATATTTAGATATTTATTCAGTGTTTCAGTTGTCTATGAAACTAAAATGCCAGCAAAAGAAAGGCGGGATTTTTTTTTTAATATTAATTTTTGTAATAAAATTATATCGAATAAAATCAACTATGGAATGAATACGCAATTGCGAAGAAAAAAATAATAATAAATAAATAAAAAAACATTAGCATTCCTTGTCGCGTTCTTCATAACAAATAAAATTACTAAATTCGTTAATAAAGAATTATGTTTCCCTAATAACAATGTTTATTGCAGTTCTTTTTAATTTTCATTCAAAAAATAACAGCAATTCAGCTTATTTTATTCCTTTTTCAGCTTATATACAGCAAATACAAATTAATAAATAGACTAGGCTCAGCTCCAGAACTGCGAATTTAACTGTAAGACATAAAACCTAGTCTAAAATTATTATGGATAAAATGGTAAAAAATTTCATTCCCCTTATTAGATATTTTCAAAATAAAGTGCTTTTATTGATTAATACGTTCACAATTGTCTTTATATATTTGATGTCTTTATATATTTGAAAAAGTAGAAAAGAGCTTATATAGACAATAGTAATTTATTGCGCAAAAAACATCTAAGTGATAGAGTATCACACCTAAATCCTGATATTACAATGCGTGATTTTTGTCTATATTTAAGCTATAAAAAAATTTAACGCGGTCATTGATTTCAGTCAAAAAAGGGAGTTAATAAGACCATAAAAACATGTTGTTGTTTTTCTCGTTCCTAAGAAGTTAATACATTGAACCGTGGTAGCTCAGTGGATAGAACGTTCGTCTTTTAATAAGAAGAATCGGGTTCGAATCCCAGCGATGACTGATCGATACAAATTCTGCACCCGGCTCTCACCGACCACAGTGCTGACATAAAATATCCTCAGTGGTAGACGGATGATTGGTTAGAGTCCTTTTGCCGCGAGGCTAACCGTGGGTGGTTTTCCTCACCGTGTAACTCAAATGCGGATCAGTTTCATCAAAAAATCCTCCACGAATGCAAATTTCTCACAATCCATGAGTTTCCCTGTCTTCTGGATTGGGTTCAAAATTACCAGGCTACGGAGTTGAACATTAGAAGTTGTAAGCCTTATCATACCTCAAAAATTTTAAAGAGTAGTACTGAAAAATATTTATTTGTTTATTATTTTATTATTCATCTTAAAGTTAGAGCCTTATTAAAAAAGCAGCAATCGATTTTTTTCCAATGAAAAACATTGTTTAATTTTTAAAATCCTTTGCAATTTTTTAATCATCAAAAAAAGAAAAATATTGAATCAATTTCTATAATTTATATTTACGTACTGAATTGTTAAATACCTTTATATGAAAATTTACATTAAGAACCAAAATTTCGAAAATATTTTATTTGTAAAAAGTATTTTTAAAAAATATATATTTTAAGTATACCGTTAATTTGCATCGACACACTTCCTATATTGCCTTGGTTGGATTATTCACAGATCTATTTTTCTTAAGCTTTAAACAAGCAATAAATACTAACGAAATGCTTAATTATCTTTCCGAAATGAATTGCTGTTCATTTAACAGTTTAACACTTTGTTTAAACATAAATCTATGACAACACGAGTTTCCGAACGTTAAACTGATTTAACTCCTGCACGATATGTCACTTGTTCCAATTTATTTCACCATGATTCGTACAACTGGAGAATCGATTAGTGAATCTATTTCAAGCAGCAAAAGGATCCATTAAGTATTTTTTTCCCTCCGTATTCCATTGATCCAGTTCCAAGTGTAACTTCTTGTACAGCTGTAAATGATTTATGATTGTCGCATCCATCTCATTTTTCTATTTCTTCTAAAATGTTTCTTTAAGAAAAAGAGAAAAAAAAATTGTTTAATGTAAACAATTAGTGTTTCTTTTTACCAAAATTTTTCCTAAGCTCTAACTTCAAAGGAGAAAGAAAATCCTTGTCATTGCCCTGTTGATAGCAGAATTAAACAAATGAAATGAAAGTTATCTAAATTTGATAAATTATTATCGAGGTCAGTCAGATGAAAGATGGGATTGAAATTCTCAAAACTGTCCACAGATATGTACTTTCTCTAAATAAAACATCTTTTTATCGACGGATTTTTTTTTAATCTATAAAATATGAGAGAGTCTTGATATGGAAAATATAGTCCCGTTAATTTAGTCAGAAAAGCAATTTAGGTCCCTTACTGTTAATTTTAATGTTTTCGTACTTTGTTATAACTCTTCAACTATTTAGGCAAATAAAAAAAAATTCTGTTATTATGAAATTCGTTTATTTAAGATAATTGGAAAAAATATTTTTGTGAGAAATTGATTATTATTTAATTCAATAAGGATTGAAGATTGTTCAGATTGTTAGGTACATAGATCTAATATATATAATTCTCTTACGTGGCTCCCCAAATTTTGGCTGTATTTCTTTTCCGCCGGTGCCAATGTTTGCTTTGTTTTGTCTGCGTTACTATTTCTCTTACACGGCGAATCGACCAATGATTGCTGCTAAAAATGTCGCATGCCAACATATAGCTCTCTTAAAAACGGAAATAACCAGAGAGCATCAGCTGCGGCAACCTCATACTATTAAGCTAGGCAGAAGTGAGTAGTCTTTGTCGATAGATCTCTATTTTAGTATTTTGTCGAAAGCGCTTTTTTTCACGAATTTATATATTACGAATTTATTTGACGATTTTTGATTTATATTACGAATTATACTATAGCACATTTCTAACAGGTTCAACAAATTACATGTCATTTATTTGAATTCAAATTTACTTTAATGACCTAGTATTTACTGAAAAGATCTAAGCCTGACTCTAAGCTTGGCCAGATTGATTTTGAGATCCCGGGTGAAAAATGCGAAATTAAATCTTACATTAAGAACATTACTTTTAACCGCTGGAGAAATGACTGGAGGTCTAGTGACAAGGGAAGACAATCCTATAAATTTTTTAAAGACCCAAGCATAAAGCGCCTGCAGGCCAATTTTTATTTAAACCAGCTCCTTACTGGCCACGGAGTGTTCGGGACCTATCAACAAAAATATTTCAAAAAATCAGCTTCATGCAATTACTGTGGAGTGAGACAGGACATTGATCATCTACTTAAGCACTGTCCAAGATTCCGGGCACTTCGTGGAACCCACATGAATAATTGCGAAGAGGAACATCAATTCTTCGCTATATTGACCTGCAGGAAAATTGTGACTCAAATTATTAAACAAACCCTCGAGGACATTCTAGCCCCAGATCAACTGGCCCCAGTCATGAACCAACAATAGAGCATGTCATCGTTAATTTTTACTAATCAACTTTTAGCCTTACATTTTGAATTTTTATCTACTTTTGATTTTAGACTTCATAGACTTCTAGTCAGACTTTTACTTTTAGACATTTACTATTTGGACTTTTAGCTTTCATTGATTTTAGTTTTGAGATTTTTTATCTCTTGTTTCCTTATTATTATAATCATTTAATTCTCGACATTTACACCGGCGCTATTGGGTTTCATTGCCTTTAACACATGTTTTTAATTGTCAAACTTTATTGTTAATCCACTTTTAACTGATCACCACCACTGTCATTTGGTGAAATTTTACTGTAACTTTAGTTTTTAGAGAAATTTTATTGTAATAATTTTACTTTTATCTCCGTATACCCCCCTGGGGTGGGTCGGAGTTCAACCTTCTTACTGAAAAGATGTAATTTTTTTAAAAAAGAAAAGTTTTTATATGGATTTTAATGATTGTTTTGAATTCTTAGAACTTTGTGCATTTGCAATGTACCTAAGTTAGTAGCGAGCTAAGCGAGCTTGGTTTAAGAAGCAAACCATATAAGATTGTGTAGCAATTTTCGGGGGTTGGCGAGCGTTAGCGAGCAGGTGGCGCAGGCCATTAGTTCTTACATAAATTCTCAAATTGTGAAATTCAAAACTTGAAAGAAATCAGCTGAAGAGCTTCTGAACAATAAAATTTCCAAAAAGTTTTATTTTTATTCCTCGAGAAGTATTTCACAAATTCCATTAGTTTTTTTCGGTTTGAAAAGTAATTTTAGCTTATTTTAATTTAAGAAGATTTCTCGTCTGCAACCATATCGCTAAAAAGTTTTCCCCTCTTTCTTATTTTCAAATTCGTTTGTACAATTGCCTATCTATATTAAACATGAAAAAAGCCTGTTTAAAACACCACCCTTGATAAGAAATTTCGGTTACTATAATCTTTTTACATCGGATGAAAAAAATATAGAAATAGTTTTTTTTTTTTTAAATATGACATATAATTGGTTTAAGACATATAGTTATTCTTTTTGCACAGATGCGTGCCAGTAAAAAAAAGTACAAGATAAATATTATATGTGCAGTGCTCAAAATAAAAAACGAATCACTCCTGAATAACTTTTGATCAGATCTTCGCGTTCTAGGAATCCATCTTAAAGGTTGGAGGGGGTGACCTCAACTATGTTAATGAGTTAGTACAGACGATATTTTAAGCTACAAAATCAGACACAATGTACCTGAATAAATACATCTTTCAACCGATTTGAATTTTCGACCCTAAATATAAAGGGGGTTGCCACAATCTGGCAAATATGGTTTAAATAGTTTGTTCAGGACAGCGGTCCAAAGTTCTGACTTTAATGTTAATTTTACTTTTTGCTTACTCGAGAATTTTTAAGTTTATAAAAAAAATTCACACACTTATAAAACTCATTTATCAAAGTACTAAAAGTATACTATAGGTCAGGGGTGGCGAACTTTTATACACTAACGTGCCATTTTTTCTAAAAAACTGTTCAATGATGTCATAGACGTGCCGTCAAGTAATTTTGACTTAGTGATTATTGGGAAAATAATAATACTAAATACTATCAACTCAAAACTATTTACATTGAAGAAAAATAATACATTTTGGCAATGTCTCAGTTATAGGTGTAATTCAACTTGAAGTAACATCAGTGTGACTTCTGTTGCTGCAGATTAGATGACAAATAACTTATATTAGGTTGTAGGATGTTAGTTTAAGCAAGACTGTTAATTTTTTTTTGCTAGTTACTTATTGTTAACTTGTTTTTTACGGTTATTAATTGTTTTTTAAGCATTAATTGTTAATTCTTTTATTAATAGTTGTTTATTATTTTGTTTGTTTTTGTGATTTTTAATTTAATTGTTACATATGCTTCATAATGTAATAACATTTGTGTAATAACAATTCATAGTGCAATAACAATTGCGATCGGTGGGGTGCCCAAAATATTGTGTCACGTGCCATAAATGGCACGCGTGCCATTGGTTCGCCATCCCTGCTATAGGTTATATTTTGAATGGAATTATGTTTAGATAAACGAATTTTATAATTGTGCTCAAAAATTTTTCAATTCTCTTAAAAACTCGAGATATGGTGAAATAAGCAAAAAGTAAAATTAACATTAATGAAATCAAACTATTAGGACCATATTTCCCAGATTGCGGCTATCTCCTATATTTTTGAGGGTTAGAAATCTAAATTCAACGAAACAAAAAGCATGCTTATTCAGAAAAAATACGTTTTTGTATCTGATATTTGTAACTTAAAATATCGTCTACACTAACTAATTAATATATTTTAGGTCACCCCCTCGAACCTAGATTTAGTCTTAGAATGTGAAGATCAGATCATTAGATTAAAAGTTAATCGGTGGTCCGTTTATTTTTTCACTGACTATTTCTTTAAAATAAGGGCTTAATTGATTTGTTGAAAACCATGCGATTCATTCCTTACAAACAAAATCATAATTGTTAAAATTTGCATTTTAGAATAAGACAATTTTATTTTTTAGAATTAGAATATTTGTATTTTTTCAAGGAGCGTTGAACTATAAGTAGCCCAAAGCTAACTTTGGAGCACATCCTTAATATGTTACTTAAAAAAAAACTCTTATTTTTGTTAAAATTAATCAACTAATGTTTATCGTTACGTATTGTCTTGGTGTCCATTAATCACCAACCTTAATATATACTTTTAGAATTTTGTCAAAAATGAAGTAAAAACTGCTTACTTATTATGGGTTCAATTAGTTTTTAAGCGAGGTAAAAAAATTGTTGAGTTTTTGAGTTGAGTTTGAATGAAACGTAATTACTAAAAATACTCCCGTATTTCATCCGGCAATTAAACTGTTTTTAATCCAGACTTTCTCCAAAAATATTTGTACAATTTTCATTTTGTTTCTCGCTTAAATATTAATTAAAACTACACCCATTTTCTAACTAATTTCAGTTAAATTTTGCCTAGGATTCTAAATATATAAATTAAGGGTGATAATTACGAGACATTCTATATAACCTAAAATCAATATTATTAAGAACATTTATATTAGTAATATAAAATGCACGACTAGTTTCTTATCATTTATTATTATCCTTTATTTATTACTTAATAGCTAAATGTTAGCAATAAACGGTTAAGTTTATCGTTATGCATGTTATCAAATTAAACATTATTTAAAATCATAAAATGTATTGTTCGAAAACATTTATTTGATAATATATCATCATTATATTATATTAGATATTTTCCGACATTTAATTTAACAACTATAAGAAGTCCTATTTTATTGAATTTACAGATTGGTGCATTAGAAATAACAATACTGTAAAATACAAACATGAAAAATTTTCCTCTTTTTGAAATAATAACAATTATAATTGCAGTGCAGCAGTCAACATTATAAGCAAGTTGCTTTTTAAGAAAGTGGGCTCGGTCCATTTCTTATTAAAATGCGATTCTTAGTTTTGTAATAAATTGTAATTGTAATAATTTGCAAAAGCGCATGAAAAAAAAAAACGATTTTAAAACAGTTTATAATAAACATTATTTTAAATGAGAATAACACAAAAAAGTAAATTAATAATGAGGGCAGTTTCATTTTTGAGGGAGGAAAATGACTTTATTTTCCAAACAAGCAACCAAACTATAAGGCGTTGAAGTATGTATGATTAATTAATGAAGCAGTATTTAAAAACAATTATTACTTAAAGAAATCATGAACACACTCTATAATAAACATACCTTATTGGTTCTTAATTCTCCTTGAAGTATTGTACTTTCGACTTCATAAAAACAAATAATAAGAAATAAATTTATAAATATTCCATAAAAGCGAGGGTGGTAATCCAGGCCCACCATAGCGGAACCACCATGTTCTCATCTGAAGCACCTGAGTTTTGTTTGAGTTTCCATAGAAACCATTTGGTGCCGCTCCCACTCAAACAGCGCATAACTCTTTATGCGTAAGTCAATGCAATTGAGGACAATAACTAGAATAACAAGATAAAAAAAATTATGAGGAAGAAAATTAACCGTAGCATCGGAAAAATATTCAATCATATTTGCTGTATTAATTGAAAGAAAAAATACCATGGTTACCTATATATCTTAAGAAACAGACAGTTTATTTCCTTATTAAGCTTTCAATTGATTATTTATTTAAATTTATGATAGTAGTCATAGTAGACTATGCAAATTCATGATAGTCTTATGAATGTTTAAATATTGAAATATAACAAATACTAAATTGTATTAATTATACCATTGAGTTGAATAAGTTAGATTATGCCCCATAAACAGAATATTTTCAAATGTTCCGCAACAGGACTTATTGATTTATACAAATGTTCTGCAAGCATTTCACAGCAAAAAAAAAGTTAACTTTACGTTAAAATACTATATTTTCATTTATTAAAATACAAGATCGTACACAGATACACTACATTATTTTTTAAACCAAGGCAAACATTCTTGATTTGTTACTTTTTCAATCACTTTTGAAGTACAAATTTTGTTAATGACGACGATGATGATGAGGAATTATTAATAAAATGCCTATGATTCGAAGGTCCGAACATTAAAATAAGGGCTGCCTTAAATATCTTTCGAAGGGACAAGTGCCCAAATGGTGCACCATTTGCAAACACAAACATTCGCTGGTCTGTTGTTCCAACAACTTCATCTCCATCGAAAGCATTTGATCTTTTAGAAAAAATCCTGTCAATCATGGATCCCCACGATTCACAAATTGCTTCTGAAATGGGAATGGAAAATGCAAAAGTCATAAACTTTATGAAATTGGAAATCACTTAGTTTAATTCTTTTACGGCTTGCTTTAGAAGCTCTCTTGATAAAAATGGTGATCGCAAGATTACCGGAGGCAGGTAGGCGGGGTTTCCCAGGAAAACGCTGTAACTTATTCAAGATACAAATTGTTCTGCAAGACTTCGTTTGTTCCGCGACGTACGTCACAGTTTTAGGCACTTTCTACTTCTGGGGATACGCTCTGTATCCGCACGGTTGTAGCGCCATCTAGAGAAACATATGTAACAAGAGAACGAGAGTGATAGTTGTGAAGTAGAGAGCACAATAAATTGTGAGAAAAATTACAGTCCATTTTGTGGTGTTATAATTAATGAAGTATTTAAAAAATAGAGTTATCGAGATCCAAAACATGGTCAGTAGACCCGGAGCTTGGTTATGCGAACTTACGAATCATAATATTTAATTCTGTGTTTTGAGTTACAGTTTTGGTTTCGTTTGGACAACGATCCCGATACAGCGAAAGAGCTATGTTGTTCCCCTTTTGAGTGTGATTTATGTNTAACATTGGAAAGATCCAAGCAAGTACTAAGATTGCTATGAAGATAAAGAGGTTCAATATTTTCAGCGATTAACAGTTGTGATTTAACATGACTAAAAGGACTGTTTTTCTTTAGCCTTTGATTGCAGGTCCAATTATTTAGGTAAATAGCAGTTAAATTGCCTTGGTCTAAACTGGAAAGTTTATTGTAGGCAAAGAGGCCTTCACTAAATTAGCTTGCCTTCTGAAGTTAAGAGGTTGCAGATCTGCTTCGTAAAGAACGATCTCTGAAGGGCAGCTACGTTTCAGTCCAGTGATGATGGTGATTTATGTTATAGGGGTAAGTGAAATTTTCACTTAATTGTAATTTGTGAACTGTGATGCTTTTGGTTTATTATGTGTATTGCTTTAGTGGAGTTAGTTTACTTTGTTAAGTAGCGTTTAGTTTAGAGAATTGCTTTCGATGAAAACGCGGCGAGTAGTTGATAGAGTTACTGATTTTAAAGTGTAGTTCTTGCAATAGCAAATTATAAAAATGGCCCTTAAGTTGAACTTTAAAAAGGATGAGTTAGTTACTATTGCAGAAGAATTGGATTTAATAATTCCAGAAAATGCTAAAATAGTGGATTTAAAGGGCTTAATTGAATCTAGTGAGGCATTTAAAACTGATATTGAGTTTTTGAGTGATTTAATTGAGAATGTTTTGGAAGAAAAAAGGGAAAAGTTAGAAAAAGCGAAACCAGAATCAGAACAGGAAATAGAGTTAGAAAAGTTAAAATTAGCTCAATTAGAAAAGCAGTAAGAAATTGCGAATATTAGAGGTAACCTAGTTGACACGTTTAAGACTACAGTGACTACAAGACTAAGAGATTTTTTTCGCGTAGAGGGAAACGCAGTATTCTGAGTAATAATTTTCTGCTATTTTCTATCAAAATTAGCAGTTTATTGTGAGAAAACAGTACATTATCTTTAATTCAAAGTATTTTCATTACTTGATACTACTTTTACCCGTCTTTCTGAGAGCATTCGGACACCACGCCGGAAGAACTCTTCATCTTTCAAGGATATCCACGAATTGACCTATTCCTTGGTTTCCTCAAATGATGTAAATTTCTACTCAGATAAACCATGTGCCATCGGCAGGAATAGATGATAATCAGAAAGAGCAAACACGGCGGATGGGGTAGGACTTCCCATCGATGTGCTTCCAAGTAGCAAAATCAAGTACCATGCAAAATTTAAGTTCAATGTCTCTTGTCTTCAGTTCGTATGGAACCCAACTTCCTTGTTTTTTGGATCATTTCCAACGATTTTAAACGATATGAAATTGCTTGCTGAGTCACTTGTAATGTAAGAGCAAGTTCTTTTTCCGTTAGGGATGAATCTTCTTCTAATTCCTTGCCTTCGGGCAATTTCGGCCTTCCACTGTGTTCTTTGTCTTCCATGTCAAACACAGCGCTTTTAAACTTCTGAAACCACTCAAGACAGCATCTCTCACTTAAAGCAGCCTCGCCATATGCTTCTCCAAGTAATCGATTCGCCTCAGCTGCAGATTTCTTCAAATTAAAGAAGTAAATCAAAAGTTCCCACAAATGACGCTATTTGGCACAAAATTTGACATTTTTGCAAGAAAACAATTACGTAATGTTAATAAGCAATCAGTAATATTTTAAAATTATGTTGCTACCAGATGAACAAAGTTACAATAAGACGTTTAACACCAATCGATTTCTGCTCAACCTTCTTGTAATGCCATCTTGTTACAAACAGCGGGAACTTATTTGTAAACCCAATATTTTGAAAGTTTATTTTAACTAACAGGACAAATGTATTTTACTTATAAGTTGCATGGAATAAACAAAACTTATGAGTAACAAAAATTTTATTCATATACCAGTGGTATAAAAATGGCTAGTATCATACATTTCGGTAAAAGTTATTACGAAGGACAAAACATATAGAATGCACAGAAAGTGTACAATCAATCGACCCAAAGCACATGGTTTTATAAATAAAACTTATTGCCAATTGTTCACTTTATATAGTATCATATAGGTTTTGAAATAACAAATGCATAAAATAGAGGAAAATTAAACACACCTAAAGTAAAAAACGAGCATAAATGTCTAAACATACTTTTAACCTGTAGTTATTTAAAATTAATTTTTTTAAAAAGAACTTTGATCAGCATTATTAATAAAAGAAAGTATTGTTATTTAAAATCACAATTTTTATTTCATTTAAAATAGCATGAAACACTTTTTTTTTACTAAATAGGAGATCAATCAAATACAAAAAATAGGGATTTTGTATAAAAACATTTATTTCACCGTAAATTGTTTATATTAAAGAGTAAAATTTTATAATACAAATTAATTTATACTTACTATATGCATAAATAAAATAAATCCCAATTTATTTTAAATATGACAATTGTTTTCCTTATAAGCTTCGACAACCAAAGAAAAAACTATCGATTACAAAAGCAAAAAGCTTCCAGAATATTCAGCTTAAGTAGAATTGCATATATGCATGAATAAAAAAGATGAAGGAAAAAAATTTGCACACATTCACAGTAATATTGCAATAAAAAGGAAAAAATGGCACTAAATATACAGAAAAAGAGTATCAAAATATATAAATATACACTTATTTACACAAAAGTTACACACAACAGTTGATATGCGAAATAATTCCTGAGAACTGAAGGAAATATAAACAAATGCATAGTTAGAGATTCATGAAATAGATTTTGAGCATAATTAATTAAACTTGAGCAAGAAAGATGAAGACAAAGCTGTTTCAATAATGGAAAAAAAACTAATAAAACTAATTAATTAAAAGGAATTAATAAGTATAACAAAACTATAATAGACGAGTCATTGAAAATTAATTTTTTGAAACCTGATATCATGAATAAAGCTAAATATTTACGATAAAATTAGATGCATCTCACAAAAAATTTTATAATTAAATAATCTTAAAAAATACAATAAAACCTCAATTATCTGAGCCTTTTTCGTTCCAATACCAATTTTAAAGATTTTTTTTTTAATAACATGCTTTTTATATGATTTATAAATTAATGTTTTATTAGTTAGTTAAGTAGATTGCTTTTGTTCTCAAAAGAATATTATAATTTTCATCCTTTCATCAGTAATAGTATAGTTTAGTTTGAGCATAATAAGTTGTCCTTTTCCATCTACTAGAAAGAAGTGAATTATGTTAATTGTGAAAGAAATATATATTAAGTGATAATTGAATCAGAAAAAAAGTTTTAAAAAGCTTGTAACGAAAATAAATTAAGGAAATCAAGCAAATGATGCTTAATGAAAAAAAAAGACTGCTGTCTAGATGGCAAATGTATTTGAAAATAACATATTGTTATACCAATTATACAAAAAGACATTAAATTAATCGTCACATTAAAATTAAGTTTATTGATACCTCTGGGGGTATTAAATTGAATATTGATCGTTCTCTGGTTCCGGTCAAAATTAAGATTTGTGGATGAATGAATGGGTATGCAATATAAAACGGTCTGTGACTGAAATCACATTCTTAGCAATAGATGGAGCCACTGAAAAAGAAAA